CCACTCAGATCCGGAGGTCGTTGGCCCGAGGGTGGTGGCGCAAAAGGATGAAAAACGAGGAAGAAGAACTAGGTACCCCTTTTTCCCACAGCTCAAAGAGATCCCACCAATTTCACCCACCCGACCCATTTTCATTTCTACTCCACCTCTTTTTTCACCCACAAGATCCCCCTTCCTTCGAGTCCCAAAAACCAGGGCGTGCGCCGCGTGCGCGCCGGAATCCGACGCCAGGATTGCGTGCCGAAGCTGCGCTTCTGCGTGGATTCCATCCGAGCCTTCGATGAGCGGCTCCGGGCGCAGGACCCGTCAGACCGGACGCGGAAAGGACGTGCGCTCGGAGGCGGTGTGTGCGGCTCCGGGTGCAGGAAGGCGCAGGAATCATGAAGAAAACCATGGAAAAGCTGAATGTGGTGGTTTCAGAATATGTTTATGTTCAACCTCTACTTGGGATGATTCAACCACATTAAACCCACTGACTCATAGTTTTTGTTCGTTTTTCAACCACCCACCAGATCATGACTTCGGTTCGCTGAGCTACCGACCTCATGCGGCCGGAGGAGTCGCCCACACGGCTCACACGTAGACTGCGGGACGGAGCGACGACGGAGGCAAAAACAGTGGACCCACCCACCCACTTACCCACCCACCCAACTGCAAAGGAAGGGCATCGCTACTAGGAGCAATCACGCTACTAGGGGCTCCTGGCCTTACTACTTGGAGCAAAGGACGCCACTGAAGTGTTTTCTTCCCTATCCAGGATCAATTGCACACCTGCCCCAAGCATGAGCTGCCACTTGTTTGGCATAGTTGTTGTCATCCATTGTAGAACCTATATATGTCCCGTTGCTGGCAGGACGGTATAGTTTGTAGATGGACATTCATTCCCCCCCAACGACGTTATGTAAACACTGCATTGATCCGTACACAGTTTTCTTTCTAATTGATTATATATATTATATATGTGCACTACGTGTGCGTGCATGTTCATTTTCAAGCCACCTTGCTTCGGTCAACACACCGCTGACCTTGTAGGATGATGCCATCCAACGCGTGGATGAGGTTCTTCTGGACAAGGCGTGGGCAGCTTTTCGACCAGACGGAAGCCTTTGCTGGAAACAGGTCCCAAAAGACCAATGCCGAGACTTGAACACCAAAAGCCCATGCTTTCAAGTGTGGGGTGGTGAGTAGAGACTCTTGATTGGTGTTGCGGGATGACACATGTAAGTCATTTTCTTGAAGGGTCCCGTGGTCTTCTAGCTTTTTATGAGTCGCTGTTCCATCGCAGGCAGGGAAGTATGACATCGTGATCATCAACTCGCGGGTGGAGCAGTGTCTTCAGAAGGAGTGGGTGTCCCGTGGCACGTGGCAGGTAGCAGGTGGTGTGTGTGTCCAATTGAGTTGTTGGAGGCTTTCTTTGAAGGCAGACATCGACTTTCGCTCCAAAAGTGAGAGCCACCGGGTTGGGGTCGTGGCTGTTGTTGTAAACCCTTGGGTGAGTTTCGTGCATGGCCTCCTGGAAATAGGGAGATCTTTCTCTCAACAGTTGAATAAATTCGACCTGGGAGAACCAACGCACTGCAAATAGCTGAAATAGATTGAAATAGCTATTCTTTCAGGTGGTGACTTCCTTCAACCCTTCAATAGAGTATCCAATTTATATAAAGTCTCCAAATTTCCCTTCCTTCCTGCCACATTTGGGTACTCCTTGCTTCTGGCGATTCTTGCCACCCTCAGTTTTCTTTCAGGTCTGACTCGCTCAGACTGGCCAGTCCGCAAGCGTATAGGAGTCGCTAGGAGTCTCATTGGAGTCTAGCATGTGTCCTGATTTGCACTGCAAAAAATAACAGGATGTTCCTCTTGCGCTTTGTCTCGGATTTCTCCTGACCATCGTTCCTGTGCTCAGAAAAAAGACTCCTCTTGAGGAAAACCTGCACCACCCAACGACTCCCAGCGCCAGAAGTCACTGGTGCCGCGGCCGTGGAGGAAGCGGCCATGAAAGAGTTCCACTCCATCTATGACAAGCAGGATCGCTTCAATGCAAGGCCCCCTTGGTTTCGGGTCATGCAGTCCCCAAAGAGTAAATGCTTCAACATACACTCAAACCGAAAGCATGCAGGCATTTGGTAGAATTCCTTCCGACGTCGTTTTTATCCACCTATATCCACCTATATTATGATATATGATGTATTTATAGTCCGACGCTGCAGCCTAATGAGCCATGGCGGGCCGGATGCAACAATGGAACACCCCTTTTCGCCATGAAACGCATTCGGGTCGCCACCTTATACGTGGCGGGTTCTTACCTTTCGGATCAGGAGTTCATTCCGTTCCCCCACACCAGTTCCACCAGGTCACCAGACCTCACTGCCACGGTGTTTTTCGTTTAAACCGCAGAGCTTCAGAGACCGAAGGGTGACGAGTCGTCACCGTTTGTGGTGGCGCGTGAAGCAAGCTGGTCGCCGGTGGTTCGCTCGGGCACGTGAGATGGCGCGAGCACCAGCGCCAGGTTCGAGGAGTACGTGGAGCAAGAGAGCAAACACCTTGACAAGTTCCGGCCTCCGGACTATGGGCCCTACTTCGAGGACACAACCGTGTGGGCTGGGAAAAGGGAGGTCTGACCGGGAAAGAGTGGGAAACAGCACTGGAGGGTGATGGATGGTGATGGGTTTTGCTTTAGTGATTTGTTGGATTGATGAATTACTCAATATACTATCATCATTCATCATCTATGTATTACTAAGTCCTTGCTCTTTGAGCCTCCAAGCAAGGGAATACCACTCCGCTTTGTGCCTGCGAGTTTTAACATTGTATTTTCATGTTCCACAAAGAAGTCCCAGTGGATGATTCCTTGATCCTTCTTTGAAGCTGAAGCTGAACTCTTTAAAGTTTTGTGAGATCTTTTTTGTGTCTTTACGCTGCACTCACAGGATCCATGCTTCCAAAACTGAAAGAATGTGTGAAATCTCAGATTCCAAAACTCTTTTCAGAAAGGAGCTCAATCAGAAGGTTGCCCTGAAGGCAGACAAGGTGCGTGTCGTGGGTGGGCCGTTTTCCTTTTTTGAATGCGAGTGGTGACAGTAGTGTCCGAAAGACCTTTGAAGGGGGGCAAGTCCATCAACTGACTCCACCACCACAGGCCACCGACAGGTGGACTGGGGTTCAGGTAAAGTAAAACCCATCACAGCTGGACGGAGTCATGTCCTGATTCATGTTAGTTCTGTCAAGTTAGTCATGTCCTGTGAAGTTCGTTCTGTCGTGTTTCGCCATGTTTCGGGCCCGTCCTGTTTCGTCCCCTAACTGGATTCAGCGGATGCCTTCAGTTTCGCGAGAGAGAGAGAGAGAGAGCTAGCCGCTAGCGAGGCCGCTCTAGCTGTCCAGGGCCCCGCCTTGGTGATTCCATTATCCTCAATCTGTATGGCAGAGGTTCAACAAGGTCACTGTGGCGACTGTGGCGTTAGCCACCATGGGGGTTTTGAGGTTTGGTGTGGAAGTGGGTTGGTAGCGAAACCACACGTTTAGAGCGTTTTTTTGCAAGGAGCCATTGAAGCTGGAAACGCTATGAGGTTTTGTTGTTATTTTCCCCAGGGGCCCCGTTCAACATACGATTCTGCGTGTACACATGCCTTTACGGACCAATCGTTGCGTTGACTTGTCAATCATCAATGATACTTTGGAGAATGACGAGTGAATTTTGATGCACACCAAATGTCACCACTTGGCCCCCCCACACACCACCTCGCAACGAACAGCAGCACTGGGCATGATGCGGCGGCATGTATCGGATGGACACCGTGCTGAAAGCCCACGGCCCACGGTCACAAACGCCGCGATGAGCTTAAACAACAGACCAAAGCAAACCTAGTTTACTGTCAGAGTCAAAGTGGCACACTTATGTCATACTCATGAGACATCATGAGATCAATGCATAATCTGTTGAACATGAACAACACCTGAAGTTCTGAAGCAACCTCACGCTTAGCCTCAAAACACCAAACTTAGATTTATATTATTCACGTAACTGCTGTTGGGTTTATAACATGTTCTATGTTCTAGTATCAACATGTTCATTTTTTGGTGCTGAGCATTCCTATTACTGTGCATCATTGCTCCCAGCAGTATGCAAGACGGTTAAAGACTATGGAGAGCCAACTTCACAAACTTGGGTCAACTTTTATAGAAAGCTCCGCTAAATGAAACAACTCTGCTACTTTCCCAGAACGCAGGAGACTACAGACTACAGGATTCCGCTGCTCTCGGTGAGTTTTTCTTTCTTTTTATTTTTTCAGTATTGAATATTTGGTCGGATTGTGGGGTTGTGCCCTTCATGTGTTGAGAGAAAGTAGCACCCCTATCCCCCTATCCGTACGGTACCTCCCTCACCGTTCTGATGGATGCCACACCGGATCGAGGTTTCCAGGATCGATGTCATGGACATGCAAAGACATTGACTTTGCTCCTTACATTGGTCCACAGCCCACAACACAAGTAGCATCACTCTGTAGAGCAGAATTTTGCAAGCACTGCCCTCTGTAGAGCACTGAACAGCTATGGAACAACATCTGAAGAAATGCAGTATGTTTGCTGAGTGTTGCGATTGTTGGTTCTACATTCTTTTCTTTTGCCCTGGCGCTCTTTTTCCGACCCGCGGGCGTCGCAAGAAGCACACCGGTAAAATTGGGACACGTTGGTGGACACAACACGTCGCAAGAACCACACGGCAAATCGGCCCGGACTTTTTGAGAGGCCGATTTGGTGGAGATGTATCAGCTCAAGGCCAGTCACGGTCGAGCGGGGGGAAATGGAATCGGTTTCTGAAGGGGGGATAATGGATTCGCACAGAGTTCGTTCATTCACCAGTCTCAGGGTCGATGGTTTCATGGCATCGTGTCAAGTTTGCTATGGAGTTCGGATAGCTTTTTGCTGATGTTTTAACATGTCTATATAAATGTTTCAAGTTCACACTCTAGCTCGTTTGAGGATGTGTATCTGGTTTCATGTGTTTAATGCCGCTTTTACTAGTTCCCCGGCAGCCGTTAATGCTTGCGAGTGCACAGCATTCAGCTTTGCTATGGACAGCACCAGGCGAGGGGTCACTCGGTCCAGAAGTCCCAGAGACACAGTCAGTGCAGGGAGGCATCAGAGCCATGAGCAGTCTGACAGTCCTGTGAAGATCAACATTGGCGGGGAGAAGCTGATCGAAGTCTATCCTGATTTGTTTGCCGTGCGTGGAGAGAACAAACTCACGAGCATCATGGCGGGCCGGTGGCGCCAGCCAAGGGATGCACAAGGGAATATTTTCGTGGACTACTCACCGGAAGTCTTCATGCCACTCGTGGAATGGCTCAGGGAATGCCGTGATGCTGACCCTCAAAATGAGCTGGTCCCGGTGCGCATTGATCAGGAGCAACATGGTAGGAGAATGGCATGGGTCCGAATGATGAGAGCCTTGTCCTTCGCTTGGGAGGATTTGGTTTTTGCCGCGGTGACCGCCCAAGAGTTCATTGAGGCAAAGTTTCCTGCACGTGTTTGCTTGCAGGCTCGCGCCGGTTCCTTGCCATTGGCCGAAGCCCTATTTTTGGACGGGGTCAGGCAACAGGACTTCGCTGACGTGGGCATTCAATTTTATAAGGAGGACTTTAACTTGGTCCAAGAATTTCAAGACTACTATGAGACGGGAGACCATCAGCCACGTGCGCCTGTGGATGTCGAGGTTGCCTTCCAATACATTTGCGCTGCAGTCGAGGATTTTCGTGAGAGTTCCTCCGGATGGCTAACAAACTTTTTTGCTGCAATCCGCTCAAGCCTCACCCTTCAAGCTATTGGTTTGTCCTGCTTTGATTCATATTATATAGTCGAAAAAACTTGATTTTATTAGGGAGCGGCCACACGATCGTAATATATACATATACACATATATATATATTGATTTATATATATATATATATTTGTTTCTTGGACATGTGACCATGCTCCTTTGCAGAGGATCTTGATGCAAATCTAAGGGCATCAAGGAGTGCCTTTGGCCTTGATCCCTTCAGCTCCTCCCTGGAAGTGAGGGGTCCTGATGTGTCAGCCCTTGCTGGTTGACAGCAAACCAGACCAGCTGTACAACGAACGTGCTGGTCCAGTTTGGTCACACAAATCACACTCAAAGAAAGTGCTGTTTTTGGTGAACTCGGAACCCCTCGACCCGAAGTGAGTTTCCCCATGTGCCGAGCTGGGATGTGGAGTCCGAACATCTTTGGAACGACCTAGTTAGCCTAGGGCCTTGTTTGTCATACTGATCAGGAAGAAGACAGAAGACAGAGGAAGCTTACTTGGGCCAAAGAGCCATGGAGAGCCCGGAGGGACGAGGTGTTCTGGTCAAGCCACCAACACATACGCTGGGACCAACGCAGGCTGCGCAGACCGCGTTGTAAAAGAGAGCCGGATTTTCCTCCGAGATGAGCGGTTGAGTGGAGCTGGACTTGGAAAGTCTGCGTCAATGTTGGTTCTTCTGGATGATCCATTTCAATCACGAGAGATCCTTCTGAACAGGACGGACTGTGCAACTGGACCCAGTCTTTTTGGAGGGACAGACCGTGCGAGAGATGGACCCTTGAGAGATGCTCTCAACATTTCTCAGCTCTAGTCGAGATGAAGACATGGGTGTGTATTTCAAGCTCTAGGGAAGTCTTCCTTCTTTGGGACCGTCTCCCGAGTTGAATGCACACCCCACACTGGCCCATTGGCCCACCCAGTGTTTCACCATTGACCCATACTGAAACCGAGTGACGGGCTGTCACTGCACTCCTCTCCTTTTGGGTGTGGAACGTGTTCATGTGCATGTGACCCCATGAACACCACTGTTCAGCCCCAAAGACCTGAGAAACCAGGACAGAATGGAGATATAGAGATACCTTATCATGTCGTTTCCACTGTTGCACACCACTATTGTTTAAACCTATTACACTGCACCTGAACATCAAGTACACCAGGTGTCCATGGGTTGGCAGTTGCAAAAAGATGCAAAAAGGTCTCTCCAAACTGCATGTTTCATGCGTTTAGTATCGTTTGGTTTGCTTCCAATCTACGGTTCTGAAGAGTTGTTCCCTGAAATTCCATAAGTCTACTGTAGATAGCCAGTTGCAGACAGGGTTTTCATCACGTTTTGTGTGATTGGCTCTGCTCCCGCTCGATCCACCAGGCCAACCGCATCGATGCAGATGAGCTCGCCAAGCTCCAGGCGGACCATCCGCATCGAGCGCCGGGGAGCTGGGAGGATGAAGACAGGACACCCATGGTGACCATACCAAAACGATGGGTTTCCTGGAAGGCAAACCAATGGCCTGCAATCCTATTAGGTTGGAGGCCATTGGTTTCCTGTAGATTTTCCCGAAAGAAAAGCAATGCTGCAAAGGCTTTTCACCCACCAGTGCATTTTCCAACAAACATGGAAGTGAGAATGGGCTTAATTGCTTGTTGTTTGTTGTGGTTCAGAGAGCTAGTCTTGTGGACTCCAAGGAGCTGTAGGAGCGTGGGGTTTAGATGGACATTGGGCAAAGTTGCACCGGAGATGACTTGATACGTACGGCTCTGAGGAACCTGGATCAAACGGCTCTGAGGTTTGGAATAGTGATCACGATTCCGAGTGAGAAGCACGTGCCAATGTTGCAATAGAAGCAGGAAGTCCCTAATTTGCCAATAATTTGGTCAGTTTGTGTGCTCAGAAACACCAAGACACTTGATCCTTACCAACTCCATCCATGCAAAGGGTTCAGTTTATAAGGCTCTACACGAAGCGAGCACGAAACTTGCAAATACAATAATATCTCTTGAGTCACAATCCACAGCTGCAAGATATGTTGATTGCATAGTTTCCTAGGCTCTTCAGTGGAACTGCTGTTTCCATCCGATCCGAGACATCGTTCGCGACGAGCGTCGCGCATCGCATCGCTTCCGATTTCTCCGTGGGTCGTGAGAAAAGCCGGCGACAGACATGAGTCGACATGCTGCCCGCGGGCTTTGGTGTGCCCTTAGTAGCTTCGAGCTACTAGTAGGACTGCCCTTGTTGCTAGTAGCGATGCCCTTGTTACATCTTGTTACTAGTGGGGCTGGATTTTCGATTTCAGCGATCCGGATTTCGATTTCGGATCAGGACACAATCCATCGGCAGTTGGAGTACTTGGCGGTGACGACCTTTGGTCTCTCGAAGCTTTGCCTCGCCGAGGCCGAGGGCACCGGAGCCACGAGTGATGAAATGGTGGGAGCCACGAGTAGTCTCGGTGGTCTTTCTCTGGACTCTTGCAGGGGTGTTCAACTGTTTATTCTGCTTGGATATTTGTGGATTCTGAGGTATTGTCCATGTTAAAGAGAGCAAACATGGGTCCGGCGGTCTAGGTGATGGTGAAGCGCTCGATCTGCGGCACTCAAAGGTCTAAGATTTTGTCCGGGCACTCCAAGGTCTTTCACGTGCCAAAACCTGACCTATCAACCCAACTGGCACAACTGGTGGCTTCTTGGAACCCTCAGATTCGCTTCTTGGAGCCGTTCCACCCACCCAGGTGAAGCAGGGCGAATCGAAGACCCTGCGGATGCAGCAGCGGACGCAGGCGAGCCCCAGCTGCGGCGGTCGCACCCGCGCACTTGGCGTTTTGCGGATGGCTGCGAGCCCAGAGGAGGAAACCCTTTGGAGAGGAAAGGACCTGAAGGATTTGGGGTGGTGGGGGGTCCTAGGTCACTCGGGTTCTAGGTTATTGGATGTTATTTGGATCGAATCCTCTCAATTCGATGAGTCCCCGAAATCACACTGCAGTCGAGAGGGACTTAGTGATTTGCAGTGGACTGGTGGGATTTGTTGCGCCCTTTGTCAGCTCCTTGCTGATAGACAAGCATGGTTGACATCCTGCCCCCCAATCTTTTTGGTGCTTATGGTAAGAACCCCATTTGGATTTGGATGGTGGCAATCCCATAACAAGAAGCAGATTGTAGGTCAAATTAAAAACCATCCAAAGCCCCAACCACCTTTGTGAACCGCAGCTTTTGACCGATCCCTACGCTCATTTCTCTCTCATTCTCAGCATCGACTGAACCCACAGACGTCCGATTCCCTCGTGCGGGCCCCCCACGTTTTGACCTGCACGCCGTGCAGGTTCTCATGCAAAGCGAGGCGCGTGCGACGTCGTCGACGTTGGCACAGCCCTCTTTTTCACCCGGAAACGCCAGCCTTTCGCCGGCGGTTCCCGCGAACGTTGCAGCCGTGGCCGAGCTGAAGTGGCCGAACGAGGGTGAAGAGGTCTTGGGGGCACGGTGCCCTCTTTGCAGCAATATGGCAGTGGACAGTATAGTCTTGCTTTTGACCCTGCCATCCACTTTGTGATTCGCTGACGTGGACAGGTCCGCTGATCCAGAAAAGCATGATGAAAAGCACGAAGCGACTGGAAGGGTTTCAGTGGCCCCCATGAATCGCGGGTGTCTTTGGTATAGCGGGTGTCGACCCCCCGAAGCAATGGGGTAGACTGGTCTGACCTTCCCGTCCTTCAGGGAGATCTTTCAGAAGGTTTTCCATGGTTTTCCCGGATTTTAATTCCACGGAGCCAAGAGTTGGAAGGGATGAGTTCTGACTGCTTGGAAGGGATGACATTTTGAGAGTGGACTGTCCCGGTTCTTCCGACCACGGTCCAGCAGCCATTCGGAAGATGTGACGGCTGGACAGTCTTCGGACATTTCTCATCATTGCTTTGCACATTTCTAGCACATCAGATTGCTCATTTTCCAAATCTGATTGCTCATTGTCCGAAGATTGTCTGCACGTGCCAATCATTGCTCCAACAGATTTCTAGCACATCTTCCAACAGATTTCGAGCGGACTGACCCTCCGCACAGGCATTTTTCATTCTTCCCGTTCGACTGTCCATCGGTCGATGAAACCGTGTCGATGAACACCGTCCGGGCAGAGTCCGCCTGCCGGCAGGCGCTGTGGCATTGGATCCTCCACAATGAGCCTCCACCGAACCTGGATACTTTGAGACCGCCACCGAAGAAGGCAATTTTGGAAAGCAAGAAAACGTTGGAAGCTGCTGACTCTAATGTGTGGGAGTGACTCGAGCAAGTGAGATCGAAAGGTACGGTTTCAGGTGAAGTTGAAATTGCAGCACGCTACAACGGCTACAACTACGGACAATCTGCAGAGCTTTGCAGCCTCTGAGTTGAACAGGATTGATATATTTTCTTCAGCATAGAGATCCCAGGAGGCCCCCCCTCCCCTGATTTTGCTGGGACGGTGTCAGCTAGTTGCTCACAAGTCCAGAACGCTGCGCGTTTCGATACGTTCAGCATTAATTCAGCATGGATCGACCTTCACAGTCTTCTATCCTTCAAAACCCAACTCCACAACAACCCAAACGCCTCACTCAAAAACGCCTGCTGTGCTTCAGGGTGCTGCTGAGGGCAACAACACAGATCCCGAGAAGGCTGAGATCATTGACAAGCAGAAACGGACCATGGATGACCACAAGAGGCGCGGGCGTTCGCTTCCCCCGATGCCGCCCGTTCGCCTTTACCGGGACCGGGAAAACGAGGTCCGCAGGTTCGGAGTGTTCGGCAGCGTTAGATGTTCTGTTCACGAGGCTTTGTTCATCCCAGGGTCCCATGATTGAAGTCTACGTACTATATACTACTTACTTTCATCTACTTTAATACTTACATCCACCGCAAACTCTGGCCCCTGGTTTGTAGACATTGCGCCTTCTTTTGGGAGCTCGCCACACACAGTGAGCACCGACGATGGAGCCTGCTGGAGCAAGCATTCAAGAAACACTTGGCATCCACAGATCTTGGAGTCCTCAACACCAGACCCATTGAAACACTGGGTCTGATGTTGGACCGAATCCAACTCCTGATTTGTTCAGTCTATTGTTTGTTTTTGAACAGGCAGCCTCAACTGCCGCGCGGTTCCGCCAGGAATCAGCTGGAGCGGAAGCTGGGCATGACCGCCTGACGGAGCAAAGTCTCAGCGGCACGGTCAGCGAATGGTGTGACACCCCGGCACACCGTGATTCTTGTTTTGGAGAGCCGGGCATCACCGGTCACCTAGCCGTCTTTGCAATGGCTTCCCGGCACAGAAAGTTGGGTGACGTCCCAAGCTTCGGGGTGTGACGTCACCGACGTTGCGGGAGAGTCAGCCTTCATCTTCTCTTGGCGCATTCACGCCCTGACGGACCCGTCCACCGTCCCATCCCTTCAGTCTCTTCGCTCCGAGTCTGACTCCGTCCGTTTCACCACGGAAAGACTCCGCGTTTGTGGCGTCCTGAGGTGCAAGACGCACCTGGGAAGTATGGTTGTGGGTTGCAAGATCAATACGCTTGGTGAACAACCAGTTCGGTCAAGTGTTAAAGGGAGCCAGAAATACCCACTGTTCCCAAGGCAGAGGAGATCTATAGGTAGTAGAGTTGAGCAAGTAGATGGCTGGCATATGATGCCTTAAATATACCTGTATTGGACCTGGACAAGCGTCCCAATTTTCGGTAAAAAGGTTCAACGTCCATGGTCTCATTTGCAGCCGGGAGAATAGGGCTTGATGATGGCTTGATGATTGTCAACATCCGCTCATGATAGACGTTTGCCAACCTCACCAATATTTGATCACCACATGGTTTTCGCCCATCGCCATAATCCTGAATGGGCATTGCGGACTGCGAGGTGTTTCTGTCGGCAGAAAAAACAATTGAGCTACGGAAACGATGCGCCAATGATTTCATTCTGATTTGGTGTTGCAGGAAAACGGACTCGTACTCTGGTCCACATTCATATTTGGATAGAGTCATTTATTCAGGCTGTTGTTATTCTTGTTGTTGTTGTTGTTGTTGCCCTTGACCCTTGTTTAGTAGGCGTGAACATGCTGAACTTGCTTGCTGCTTTGGTTGAAAGCACCAGGCCAGAGGTCTTTGGGACCCTTTTATTGAAGGTCTCCCACGCTTTTAGCCACTGGCAAGGTCTTTAATGGAGTTCTTGGCAAGTTCTTGGTTGTCAAAACCGGTGAATGGTTAGACATTGCCTGGCATGTCCCTGGCAAGATGTTCACAAGGCGATCTCATCCCTACCCAGCTTCTTTTTGGCTGAAGATGGTAGAGAAACAACAGCTGCATGCAGACAAATGCAACTCAAAAGGAGCTCAACGCACAGAGTCTATATCGGCTAACAAAAGCCACATGCGACGCCGGTAGTTGAAGGATGTGCATTCCACTGGACACGGAGGGTGAAGCTTGCAGGTCCAAGGCTAGGACTTGGACTTCGCATCATGATCTTTTGGGGCTACAAACCAATTCCCCTTCCAACCATTTACAGCACCTCAGACATTTCTCCCCCCCACAGGTTCAACAAGAAAAAGAGGCTCCAATTGGCCACCCCCCCATGAGCACTGCCTACTATGGCCGAGTTGTACCCCTGGCGCTGAGACGCTTTGTCCGGATCTCCGGCCAAGCTTCTGGCTCGCTTCACGTCTCGCGCGTGTCACACATCTTGTGTCTCTCACCGTAGGTGAGTAGACCGGTGGCCTAAAGGAGAACAGGTCAACTCTGGTGGTCGTTTAGGCCCAATTTTCAACCATCTTCATTGGGACACCTGTCACTAACCCTCCCAGTCACTAAAATATGTGTACGATTTGGCACCCGAACTTGGGGCCGTGCCATCCACCATGAAATCAGGGAGGTGTAAAAAAAATACATCAGCTCAACTCTCCAGGGACTCCGGACACCGGAGAAGCAATCGAGGTGAAACTGCCGTGCCGGCGTCATAGCCCCACCGGGCGTGCGGTGGGAGTTCCTTGGTGGCTACCAGCGGGGTGCTGGTCATTGATTTTTTTGGGTTCGGACAATGGATTGGCTCATGGATGGATCGGTGAAACATTTAGTACCAAAGAAGGCCCTTAACAATGACAGCCTCCAATTTGAATTATTTTGACATTGCGACGTTTTGGGGCTTGAGGCCCATGCTAAACATACAGGCCCATTTCATCCCATTTCTATCAGATATGGGCTTTACATGTCAGTGCATTTGTTTGTACTCACTTTGGCTATACTTATGCCTTGCAAGGGGCTTGCATCTTACTCCCATGTAATAGATACAGTGTGAGAAGAAATAGGGCCAGGGAAAGCCCCCCCTGCACTTGGGTTCGAATTTGTTGTTTGTCCTTCTTGCCAGTATTGATATAAGAGATTTCATGTTAAAAATGCTAATTAATTAAGACAACATGAGTTATGACCTTCGGCGGTCTTGCCAAGTGAAACGAGGCTTCCAACACCCATGCTTGTCCCCTGTTTCCCTGTTTGCGGAGGCCATATGTTTGTGCCGAAGTCTGCGGACAGTGTCTACCCGTACCCGACTCGACCAGTGTCCTCTGGTGGCTTTTAAGAAGTGGGTGGCCCTCAGAGGCTTCGGCCCATCCTGGATCCCTTCGGCACCCCATCAGGTGACCTCAACCCCATCAGGTGCTCATTTGTTGGTGGCTCGGAAATCAACATGCACATGGGGTGAGGAATCCCAATCTATCATCTAATGTCTTACAGGTTGAAACCACCCACCAACCTCTCAGATTAAAATAAATTAGATTATCATCTTCCGTCGAAACCACGGGCACAAAAGGGTTTGGTGCTGAGGATCTGATGCTTCCCGATGGCCTCCCCACAGGCCAAGCCGCACAGGGGGACCTGAGCGTGAATTGAGATCATTGAGGTCAAGTTAAGGAGTTTCTTGTGAGGATAACCAGTCAATGGCAGGAGGTGCCCTATGATATGCCATCCAGTTGTGATCCCCTATAGCTCTTTGTTTCTCGAATTTTCCGGGTGACTTGGAAGACGAGCGACGCACGGGTTGCGGGCGCACCGGGGATGACGGCAGTTGTTCCCCTGGCAGAAGCAATCTTTCTGTAGAGGCTGAAAACACAGGTCGTAGCGGATGAGCTGTTGAATTGATGTGAACCACATGAAAACACGTGAAAACATGTGAAACCATCGAAATTCTACGGCGTGAAAGGTCACGTTTTAAAGGTGGATTATTTCAATGCCACGCATGACCCTCATCAGCCAGCACAAACGAAGGACATCAATAATTTTGGAGGCACAGCTCAAGTGAAGTTCCACCCGGAACAGCTCTCCCCCTCTTGCAGGCGTGCACGTGGTCATGCTGATGACGCGCCGGAAGCACATCGAGCACGCGGATTCCTGGCTAGGCGAGTTTGGATGGGGGTGATGGGGTCCGGGCTTTCATGGAAGGAAACGAATTGGTGGTCCCTCACCACCCATGAATGAATGGTCCCCGATGGTCCCAATATATAGTGGTTCCTCGGTTTAATTGGTATTGGTTCCCTCCCGTAAGAAGCTCCATGGAACTCTCGACACTGCCGCCTATTAAATAGCTCTCCTCATTTAAGGATGGCTGCAAGCCAAAGGTAGCAAGGATCTCAAATCCTGCATTTCGGAGTGCACTCTTGAAAAAGGTTGAAATTGCTTTGCCTACCCGCTTACCCTTCCAGTTGCAGCCAAAACAGTTCATTTTGTTGTGAGATGACTGGGAATGGTGCAAACAAATCATTTATGTCTTTGAACGATCCAAACATGATTTTTCCCAACCTCTCTTGCATGTTTCTGTATCAGCAAGAGTGTGTCTCGCCTCATGCAGAGGTATAGTCAGTCGTCTGCTTACAGTAATTTATTAAAGAACACGGCTGCTTAAAGACATGGCGGAGCATCGCACCTCAGACAACATAACCATATGTAGGTTGACCTCCCCCCTTCTTCTTTTGAGGAATCTGTCCATGTTCGGCGGGAAACACCACCTTCGCGCAGGTGTGCGCAGCGCGTGCGAGCGGTTGCTGATGGAGCGACAGATGGCTTTGAAGGCGGGAAAGCGGAGAACGTCGAGGATGGCGGATGGGAGACAAACGTTTTGCCAGAGATCCAATGGAGCCGATTACAGAGTGAAATGGCAACAGGTGGTAACAAGTGATATTGGGCCATCACTGCAATTTAGTTTCCTGTTACCACTTTATTGATTGAGCCGAGTATGTAACACAAGTATACACAACGAATGTTTTAGTCGATTTGGCCGAACTCACTGCCCTAAGGCCGTGCAATCGAAGCTAGATTTTTAGGCGCACGAATTGTAGTGAAGTATCTACTGGTAGCTAGTCCAACATGTTACTGGTGTTTGGTCATCAGTTAGACCATCCCTCAAGTGATGCTGGCAGGGGGAGATGCAGATGTACCTTTGCTGCTTATTGCCGAGGCGGGGCAAGAGCATTCCCAGGTCTTCAGGAGTGTCTTTAGGTGGATTGGAGGGAACCAAGGATCCAGTGCATTGAAATTGCTAGCACCATCGCACCATCTGAGATTTCACAGTGGATACACCAAGAGAAGCGGGAATGGGTGTGGATTTCATTCTTGGATTGCACTGGAATTATCCATAATGACCATAACACCTCCATTCCAAAACAATCTAGAAAGCACATACACCAGGGCCGGGTGGTTAATGGACACCCCTTAACCTCTACAGCAAGGAGCTATAATTAGACACCCCAACTTGTTATTGTTGCGGCATTAGACATCCAGACATCCAGCCATGCTGCGCTGACCTTTCTTCCAATCTCACGAGCTCTTCAGCTGGTCCCAAGCCTTAATCTCCAGCCTCCGTCCTCCAGTGGCCATGCGGCGTATCATGCAGCGTTTCACACGGCGAAACTTTGTAAATCCTCCCCGACCGGAAAGACCGCTTTTAAGGGACGCGAGGGAAAACCCACCACTGGATCAGGGAAAACGACCAGTGGCGAGGTCAAAACCATGTCAAAACCTATTCTCATACCCAGATTCCCAGATTCAAAGCGAGCTAAAATTCTCTTCCTCATATCAGGCTCCTCCAGTGTGGCTGTTGCGTGGAGCAGGTTTTGGCCCTTGAGATGGTTCTGGCGCTATCGCATGTGCAGTTGGGCGCGGCTGCTGGAGGAGGAGGAGCAGACACAGGCGGCGGCGAAACGACGGGGAGGTGAAGATGACTGACTCCGTCGTTGTGGTGACGCCGTACTCGGTCGCACGGTGCTTTTAGGAAATGGCATGGTATGTTCCGTCGTTTCGAACGCCGCTTCCTTCCGTCCACTGCTTCCATCGAAGCAGACAATTGACTGAATGGGAGGCACTTTGTCCTGAATCTTTGGGTGTAATGTAATGCAGACTCTTGATGAATAATTCATAACATCCCCGTTATGAAGAGGTTTTACAATCATCCAAGTGGGGGGGTTAATAATCAAGAGTCCTTATATTATAGAGCGTAATCTTGTTCATGTCTCGTTCCCATACGTGATCTAGCCTGCTGGTCACATCCTCTCAGTAAACACACTCAGGTGCACATCCTCTCCTGCACCAAGTGGTCCAGCTTCTTCCAGAAGATGCCGGGGGACACTGAGTGATGTCTTTCTTCCAACGTCTCCCACTCTCAGAAGAGGAGCAATGACTGAGGGGGATCGTCTGGGATCGACTGAGGCAGATCCACAATGATGGGCGAGCGCACACCATGGTGGCTGGGAGCTCAGACGGAGACGGTGTGGATGAGCGACATGGCCTGGGGTCTTCCAGAGTGGTTCGTGGTCGAAAAAAGGGTCCAAAGGACCAAATGCCCGAAAGCGAGTTTGAAAGAAAGACAGGTCTCTAAAGAAAGAAATACCAAAAAAGGGTCTTATCCAACGAAGCAGAGTTCGGAACACCAAAGAAGGAAGAACCCCAACGACGGTGCCGCTGGCCGGAGTGGTCCTCCGCACCACCGGTCTCCTTTGCTGCTGGCCCTGCAGATTCACTGGTATCTCTCCCTTTGTGTATCATCATTTCATATATATATTTTCATATTTTGGTATTGACAGGGTCATTATCGTTCGTTTCCTTTGCGGTTGTGTCACTGGTGGGCCTTAACTTCATGCCACAGCTGATGGCTATGGTGGTAGCGCCGCTAGCCGTAGCCATCTTCCCACCGCTAGCCGGTGCCCCAAACTTCATGCGTTGCATAGAGCAAATTTGCACCCTGTTTTGGAGCACCTTACTGACGACCTTCTCTATCTTCTCTTACGAGTTCGTAGCTTTTTGGGTGTTTTTCAGGACCGCACGGGAACCTCGGACCGCACGGGGATCGCAACGATCCCCTGAGATACGCAACGATGGAGAGATTCTTTGGGCCTCGCCCTGAGACGGTCGGGCGGGGCTGAGCTGGATGTGGCGGGCTTTGGGCGTTGAGGTCCGTTGAGCTCAGCGGGCGGTCATCTCTTCCATTAACCTGGGAGGTAATGAAAGCCTGTTTGTGAGCCGTGTTGTGGGAGTTTGACAAGAAACCAGTTTTAAAGGGGCGACTTTCCAATGTAATATTATGATATATTTATAATGTATCACTATTAAATGAAATGTATTAATTTGTATGTCAAACATTTGGTTCTTCTCCTCTCCAAAATAACTAAACCCGTATCAACGTATATGTATATAACACATAGATTGGGGGATGTTAAAACCATCAGGGACACGCGCACGCGAATCCTTCCATGTTATATCTACAAACATAGTGATGACGATACTACTTGGCAATTTAATTTGAGATAGCTATTATGCAAAAAGTAAGGACCATTAAAGACCTGCTGTTTGTTTGGAGGATTTTGCTGCGCACCCTGTTGGAATCATAGGGTCTGTACATCTACATTTCTTCCGTCTACAGTGCCGGACCCGACCTCGCAGATGGACCAGGACGAGGGTTCAGAAGCAATGTGGATGACCTCTACAAGTGTTGCTTTGCGAAGCAGACGAGGGTTCTGAAACTTCAGCCAGTTGATTTGTCCGAAGTGAAGTGTTTATATCAGATGTGACGTGGTTGACCAAAGCGCTCAGAGGCGGATCTCACTTGGAAAGCCACATTTCATTTGTGGCGCTTGGCTTAATGTGCCACACTGTACCATCCTAGGTGGGCCACGACCGTTTCCAAGAACAGTTCCACGAGAGGGTCTTGAGCTCAGCTGGTCAAGACGTCCAAAAACATGGTGTTTTCTTCGTCTCAGATCATGCATCGAACGTTGCGGGGGTGGACGGTAGTCGCTAGGACTCCCATTTTGATTTGGTCGGAGCGAGTGCTAGAAGGTCCAAAGTACCTTCTGAGGAGGTGGGGTGATAGGATTCGCTGCACAGATTCAGGAGCCTTCAGAAGGTGTATTCTGATGTTCTCGGTGTGAACTACGCCTCGTCGACGACCCTGGCCGAATCCGAATCCAGTGGATCAAATCTGGAACAGTTCGATGCTTAGTCACTTCATGTCACTTAGCCACTGCAGTTGAAGCTACTAGGAACAAGATGGAACAAGGGCATCTCTACTAGTAACAAGGGCATTACTACTAGGAGTGAATAGCTATTAATATTAGTAGTAGACCGGTTCGGGTAGCTGGCTTCTGTACGGTTCTCGTTGATCAACTGCGTCAGCCAAAGAATAGGCTTTTTGGTCTTGTGTTTGACGTTGCCATCCAAGACCGGTTACAGCAGAGCCCAAACACTCTGTCTCATGGACAGACATGAATCGGTACAGCAGTGAACCTGACTATGAAGATGACAGAATCAAAAACTCTGGATCGGTGCTGAACGGAGGTAGTCGGGGTGCCCGAACGTCGCATCCACACCGGTAGTCGGGGCGAGCCACACCACCCTGGGCCTCCATGTGACAACCGGATCCCAACTTTCCACTCCTTCAGGCTGTGATGACCATGTGACCATATGTGACCCCCTGGAACTCGAACGATGAGACGACCAGCCACTCCCAACATCGTTTGGTGGTTTCCACCACCGACCTTTGGGTGGTTTCAACGATGGCCATTCAGCCACCCGACGTTGGATGCTCCAAAACCACGCCAAAACGCGACGCATCCGGCGAAACCTCCGTCCAGAGCGGTCGAAGAAAGCGGTCGACGGAGCGGTCGGCGGGGAAAACACGCCCCACGCGCCGGTGTTCTTTTGCTGAGGAAATGGTGAATGTGGTGAATGAAGAGTGCCAGTCGCGACCTGAAGAATGAACGACAAGCAAATTCCAAGTGCGAAGAAGCAGATATGGCCCGTCAAATATGAATCAAGGAACATAGCAGCATTCCATAGCTTTAGAACCTGAGGGAAAAGCAATTCCTTTGAAATGAAGGGCGAGTTATTTTTTTTCCCAGCCCTATCACAGCTTCTGAGGGTAGCAGCATTCGCGCGATACACTACCAAATAAAGAGCAACATCAATATCGACCGGGTCAATACACGGTAAAAAACCATAAAGGATACGTGGAGGTTCGGCAAACAAGCTTCCTCCAAGCCTCACGACATGCCTCATGTTTCTTTTAGACCATGGGTTGAGAGGATAATGGAAGGTATGGTTCCCATGTTTAGATAAGGACGGGAGTATGAGCCGCGAACAAGTACCAGCCATCGTTCGTCCACTTAGGGTCCAGTCGTTATGTGTCATTCTTGAGCTCAAGCTGGATGTAGCTGAGACTAGGTTCAATCTATCAGCTCAGACTTATGGACCATTCAGGTGATAACCCAGATGCTGGCCCATCCGAACTCTTTATGGACCATCCAGAGAGTCAGGCCACCAGGCCACGCGCTCATTTTTTTTTCGATGCGACCGCAGGAGGTGGCCCTTTTTCTCCATCGGATTAACCAAAAGAAGCTGGGAGAGGCGAGTCTTTTGGACGTTTTGGACCCTTTTTTCAGGTCAGGAAGCCAAAACTCGAAGCTGAAGAGCTTGGCTTCGTCACCTTGAGAAAGTGGTGTGAGGAGATTCTGAACCTTTCTCCCTAAGATTCCCTACCCTTCCGATGGCTTGCCTTTCTTGGAGGCTCAGTTGGGATGTCACTGGAGCCATCCCAGGTCACGCGAAGACGCCAAGCTGCTGGAAGGGGGCGTCACTGGAGCCATCGAAGCATCCGAGGAGTTGACTGTCGCGGCAGGTGTGACGGTCTGGCGTTCGCCGATGTGACCATATTGGGAATGCCAGTGGTGAGGGTCCTCCCTTCATTCCACCAGCGCGGGAGCCAGAGCACCCTGTGAACGGACTGGGAAGTTACTTCAAGGCCCCCTTGGATGGATTGTGCGTGTCCATGGATCCTGGGGATCCTGGTCGTTTGCACTGGTATACCGTCCTGATCGAACGGATTTGATGACATTCTCACAGGCCAGCGGGGGGAAGCCACCTTTCACGAGGGGTTGAACATCACAAGATGGAACGACTCCACCATCGACCTTGGAACGGGAAAAAGAACGAGACCCTTTTCCCGAAACGGCCGGCGTGGCCAAATCCAGCTCGTCACCGGGCCGTTGCCGCCGCGGCGTCGGAGACGGAGACGGAGTCGTCGCGTCGTCTTTCTCCGCCGTCGCGGCAGGAGACGGTCGAGTCGATGCGGGTCAAAAGGGAGCGGATCGTGATTGGGTGACGGATCTGCTGCACCTCGATGGCAACAACAGATGCATAGCGGGTTCGACAGGTTCGACCCTAACTACACACTTTTTACCTTTGAGGGTCAATGGCTGATTTTGAATTGGGGCTGACGGACGCAGACCGCAGGACTCATTGCGTGACAGAACCGACCCATCGAATGACGGAGAGTGACTCTATTAAGTCACCACAAAGTTCCACGAGCCAAAAAAACAGGACCCGCTCGTTTGTGGGGCCAAAAAATGAATTCCAGGTCCCGCATGCAAGCGGTCCTGCTGTTTGAAAGTCTGGACCGGGATTAACTTGTGGCCGCCAAGTCCCCGTCCGTTCACCAGTTACAATGTGAACCGCTACTTGTGTGTGATTCGCTAGTGAAGACGCAGTGGAACTTTCGTATACCTTCGTCATTTATGTGTGGACTTGATGACTATATGTGTACTATTTCCACCAAAGACTACATACTGCATCATATTGCACCACTGAAATAGGAAATTCCTTTTCGTGTCACCAAAGGACCATTCTTTCAGTGGACTTCCATGGTATATATTTGCTGTGCCGTGATGAGGACAAAACACACCGTTCGCTCGCGTACCGATGCGAAGGGCGATCGAACGACTTTTCCATGGGTTCATGGTTCATCCGTTTTTCTGATTCTTATCGATTCCTTGTAAGCAGTTGTATGACAAGCTGCTGGGGTCAATCGCCAATCTGCTGGTGTTAGTGCTACATTTTTTTTTGGCCGCATCCAGCCGTTTTGCCGTGAAGCCAAGCGGTTTTGGACAGTGCTCACCCGTCGATTGGACAGTCTCAAGTGATTTGTGATGATCGATAGGAATGTCCCCACCCTTTGTCCTGCGTTCAACCCACTTTTTTTGGGAGGCTTCACAAAAATGCTGCTTTGACTAGTATGGATGACTATATATATAGCAAAAATACCAGTGCTTTCAGCACTAGCTAGTTGTCAATATCCACAGCAAAAAGAACACTGTTTGTCATCAAACCCGCTCTGTCTCTTCAGTGTATAGAACAGCAACTTGTTTTGCCCATCGTTTGCCAATTGGTGGTCGCGTGCAAGCATGCTCAGGGGCCAGAGGAGTAGGATCCAAACATCATCTGATCTGTAGTGTTCGTCAAACCTACATCACCAGGTATAGACTTGTAAAATCTGGGGGGATTATAATTGTTACATGTCGTCCTTTTTCTTTCTTCGCGCCAAATTCACAGCCGCGACCTCGAACTCACGAGATCAAGTCTGGCCATCCATGCGATGCTCGCGCGGATCCCGCTCGACTCGCCGGGCAGATCCGGTCGCTGCGCGCCGAGCTGGCCGCGCTCGCGCGGACGGTCCGCGCGGACGGAAGGGACGCTGAGCAGATGGAGACCACAGAGGTCTGACCAAAGAGCCTGGAAGTGATTCAGATTTGGTGGAGGTCTGACCAAAAGAGTGCTCAGCGAAGCCTAGATAGACAGTGGCCAGTGAAAAGAGTAGAAACTGTGGCATGAAGCCACTAGCGAACTGAACTGGTTTGGTTGAGTTCATGTTGAACTGCTTTAAGGATCTTTAAGGATTTTAAGTGAGTGTACCACTTTGGCTCAAATTCATTTGCTACTCTTTCACCTTGCTGGTGGATTGTGTGACAAATTCTTCAGTGATTGAAAGCTAGATATGAATCTGCGCTCACCCGTCAGTCATTTAGAGTTTCCTCCACGGTCTAACCACGCCACGTACGGTCGATCGGCCTCGAGGGGTCCTGAAGTGAAGAAACTGTATCTGCACGGAGTTCGGGTGGTTTATGGACGTTCCATCCAATAACCACCCTTTCCGGTGCTGGGTCTTGCCAACTTAATTAAGTTCAAGCAGGTTCAATAATGCAAGAGAGAGATAAGCATCGGAGCACCGAAGACATTCCCCGTCCCCTTGTACTTAGTTTTAGATTGCATTTGTAAGCTGTCTACTCCGTGACGTGACATATGATTTCTGTCCTCAATTGTTGTCAATTGGGTGGCTTGGCATTTTTCGAGCTATGTCTCATGTGCTCCGAGAAAGGCGCCGGTTTGCGACTCAGGACTCTTTTTGGCCGTTCTCGTTGCCCTGCCACGATCGCGTGCCAAGCTCTACACACGGCGCCCAGAGCTGCGGAGCACGGTCGCTGCAGTTGCGGAGGTCGTGGAAGTTGCGGAAGATTCCACGGTGGAGGAGGAGCCGTGGCTTCAGAGCTATTTGAAGCCGCTTGGATGAAAGGGATGAGTGTGAGTGATTTAGGATATTTGTAGCCTTCCAAACTCCTCAAAAGGAAGAGGTACAAAATCCCAGTGTTGATCCGTAGATTCCGTGCCAAGGCAGGCAAATTCCAAGCCACCGGCTGAAATCCGGCAGCTCTTTCTTGAGGCGGTGAGGCGCGGCTGTGACATTTTGGTCGGTCCAGTCAGTTGACACATCCCAAAGTAGAAACGTTATGAAGAGTAAATCGATCGCTTCAGGCCACTGGCCAGCTTTTCGTCATTTACTCACTCATGAGGCCATTTATAAGAATTATAAGATCTATAGCCGTCTATAGGACAATTGCGAACTAACATACTTCTTGAACCTTTGGGATGCAAAAGAGGCCATTGCCCTGGAGAACCCAGATCTCTGGGGGGTTGAAGCTTTGCTCAGACTTGATGGAAAGGCAAAAACAAAAGGTTCGCAATGGTTCCAAGCATGAAAGCCAATCAGTGGCTCCTATAGAGGCTTAGACAACTCACCGGCTACGTTTTGGTGAGACGGGCACCGATGCTGCAACCAAAACCACCCTCCCGGATGGTGAGACCGTCGCTGGAAATCCTTTTCTCGAACGTCCGCTCGAGGGAGCGGGGCTTGGAGCTGTATGATGCACAGCGCGAAGCGATCGAGCAGATCTTTGACGATGTCCACGTGGTGTTGAACACTCCAACAGGTGGGAGATCTTTAGCTTTGGCGTCCCAGCGATCCGCATGGTGTCAGCGTCGTTTACCTGGGACTCAGTCATCCCAGGCGCGGCACCGTTCGCCGCTCGTCAGGGAGCGGTAAGTCGCTGGTGGCCATGGCCATGCTCTTCCGCGCCGTAGCCGAAGAAGCACGGGCCTACTACACCTGCCCAGTCAAGGCGGGGCCGAATGGAAGTCCAAAAGGACAACCTAAGGAGTCAACCCCCAAGAGGTCACTCTCCAGGTTTAGATGGATTTGGGTATAATCTTGCTTTTGATAATAGTTACATTCTCGAGCACCCGAGTGGACCGCCAGTCGTGTATGTGGTATATTTAATATTTGGGTTCCACCCTTGATTGGTGATCTCTGGCGTCTCGGGGTGATCCCCTTAGCTTCAGCCCTTGGAACCGGTGGAAAAAGCCGCTGCTTCCCGCCACACGGAGGGAGGGAGAGGGAGAGGGAGAACCCTCTGTTCTCCGTCCGATGTGTTGGGTCCGCACGAGGGCGATCCAGGAGTTATATCGGTTATATAGAGGTTTAGAAGAATTTAGAAGCCATGTTCAGCGGCTTCTGGCCATTTTTCATACTTTGCTGTGAACAAATACAAAAAAACTCTCTGGGACGTCCCAGGGCTGCAAAACGGCCACACCGCGGACCGCAGGCCTTGGTGAGCGAGAAGTTCTTCGCGCTTTGCAGGGACTTTGGCTCGGAGCTCATCGGCTTCTTGAAGCAGCAAGTTAAGCTCATCTTGAGTGGGAGGGCGGTTTGTAGGTCAGAGCGGTCTTCGACCCACTGGCTGCCATCCACTTCCATCTGCTCAAAGTCTGATGCAGCATTGGGGTTGGGATTTGGAACATTGGCCCCCGTCCCCTTTTTTTTCCCTCGGTCCCTGGTCACCGATACTGAAGAAGAAGAGTGCCGCGAAGCTTTGTGGTGAATTTGCAGATGCACTCCCTGGAAGCGTCATCTATGTGGAACATCGGGTCCCTTGGAAGGCCCTTTTCCTCTACACACACGGGGTGAACTCACTCTACTTCCATGTTAGTTCCAGGGAGTGTAGTTCGTTTCACTGGACGCCAGACAGAGGATCCGCGAACATCAGTATGGGTGTGTATTAGAATACCGATACCTCCAAAAGACCCCTGGAAGAAGGGAGATAGGCCAAATGGTGCGGAGTCAGCCTGAGACAAGGCATAACAGGTAGAGCGAGTCGGAGGTGTTGACAGAGCAGACACAGCATCGGCATCGCCTTCTGAGAGAACCTAGACGCATGTCGACAAAGCCAACCCAGCAATGCGAGAGACTGCGAGAGTGATTTCAGGTACACGTCTTTTCGCGGCACTGCAACAAACACTTCCACTTGAAGACAGCGTTCCAACTTGTCAACGACAGCGTAGACCAGGTGACGAGACGAAGGGCCCAAGAAGTCCGGCCACCCATCCATCCGCACACTGTGGAGACTGAACGAACGAAAGGGCACCGAAAAACGAGTTATGAGTTATCAGCATCCAAACAAACAAGCTCTCCAGCGCGCTCCAACCAAAACCACCCAAACACCCACGCAGTCATTCGGAACGGCCGTGGACTGCGCATCCTTTCGAACTTGCACGATTGAGCCTGCGAACACCGATCCACGCTAGCGACCACTGGGCTCCGTGTCCCTGTTGAGCAGGCTTGCTCGGCAAAAGAGCGCGCAGGAAAGTGCAAGGAGTTCCGTTGTTTTTGTAAACATCTTAGAGACCATCTACCAAGAGGCAAGTTCGTTTCTTTTTTCTCGTGAAACCCTCATCAAAAACGACCTCTTGGGGTGTCAGTACCCTCTACTCTGAAACCTTCTGAAACATCCTCAAACTACCAGCACCACCCAAAGGTTGGCTTATAGACCCCCTGAAGATGCATGTTCCATTTAACCACCTTTTGGCCGAGGAATGGCTACCGGGGACGTGAGCATCAACTCTCAGGTGCCAAGGGCGTGCGTGGGGCGCTTGGGTGTGTGGCGGTTCCTTGCGTTCGCGTGGCATGGAAGGTGGTGTGCCTTTCCCTGCAAGAAGCATGGAAGTGGAAGAAAGGGCCATCCACTTCCATGTCCACTCTGGAGAAATAGGATGGTTGAAACCAGATCTCTTTTTGGACACGGCTGCGGATTCCTTGGGAGTGTCATGGAGTGTCTATCATCTTCTATGAGGTTGCTTCAAGTGGACGACAGGTTTGCATGCACAGCGCCGCCTGACAGGCCCAAATGTGATCATTTCATGCAGATGTGGCCATTTTGGAGAGTGTTCCCCACCAAAAACCTGAGACATGTCCGTGTGGAGCATAGAACCACTTCAGCCATACGGACGCGGGTTGTTCCTGGTCGGACCTGGTCGGAGCGGCGAGGTTGTTCCTGGTTTCGTCGCATCTCTTGGTTCCGGCGTGACCCGGTGGGCTTCACGGGTGGTTTCTGAGGGTGTTGCGGGGGGAGATGAAGCGAAGAATTTCACGAAAGGCTGAGATCGTGGGCTTCTCCCACCCATTCCATTTGTCCGGATCGGCTTCTCCGACCGCCGACACGGCGCCATGGGGCGATGGAGGAGCGAACGGGGTTCAGCCAGCACCAGCGGTCGCGAGTTTCCCCACGCGTTTCCGGGCGAAACCGAACACAGCGGTTTCGGAGCGAATGTGAGGCCTCCATCATTTGCTGCACTGCAGAAGTCTTGGCCAACGTGGCCCTGCGTGGAGCCAACCATGACCTTCAGTATGCGGCACGGCGGCATCGCGTCACTGAGCACTGGGCATCCGATATCCGAAAACTGGGGGTGGCAGATGAACACACTGAAGCAGCAAGAGTGAGCCCTTCTTCATGAAAGAAAGGCCGGAATGTTGCAAGCCAAAACTGCACATCAACAATGGATAATAATGAACCTGTATTGGCACATATTGGCACCACTTCAGGTACCTGGAATTGACTAAGAAAAGCCGCGCACGGAAAGCCACGCACGTAACTTCCGGTGGCCTCCGTCACCCGCCTCACCGCCTGATGAGGCGGTCATGGATGAATTCCACTTCTTCGCGGACAAAGGACGGCGACCACGGTGGCGCCGAGGTTTCTGTTCAAGACCATGAGTGCACGATGGCGTGAAGACATGCATGGAAATGACGAGAGTACTGGGTCCGGGTATGGAATATTATGGATTATGATTCTTTGAGGGTCGTTTTTGGGCTTCAGTTTGTGAGCACTGATGGAGCAGGATCTTCAAGTCGATGTTTAGATCAAGCAACCCAGGATTCACCCCGATTCATCCCATTTAGAGAAGAGACTTCCCAAATTCAAAGCAATCCAATACGTTCTTATTTTTGCAGTGGTTCCTGCATGTCCTCATCAGTTTCCAAAGACTTGCAACACATAACGCCCTTATTTGGCATCGTCCACTCGATCCTTTTTGAGGTTCCTGACTGTCTCATTCGTTGTGACTGTCAGGCCGTGGATATGCATGGGAAGTGCCCCTCTTCCGCCTTCCACAGGCGACCCCTTCTGAAGCTCCACTCCACCATGTTTCACCGTGTTTGTTCGCCTACAGTTGAACCAAGAGTAACAAATGACGCACCAGTGTGGTCGTTGGAAACCGAAAGAGACAGAAAGAGAACGGGAGAACGGCTGGTCGCGCACTGGTCAAATCTTCACCTCCCAAGCTGCTGGGCGCGTGCTTTGAAAAAGTTGAAAGGCCCCAGAAGTTGTGGTGTTCAGTCTTTGTGGGGAAGATCCAAAGATTAAAAAAAAAAAGAAAAATAGAAATAGAGAGAAACACACATGGAAAGCACCTCCGAAATCGTTCTGATCCTTCGTTTCGAGCTTTTTGATGCATTTTTGATGCTTTGAACGAATGACTTTTGGGACCCCGACCCAATCTTCTGCTTCATTCCGGGCGGCAAGGCGACGGGAGAGGTACCTGTGCCTGATGGTAGTGAGATAGTCAACAAAACGCATGGTAATTACAGATGGTCAACGAGCGCATCTTGTAGTTGAAGGTATAGATTCCAGGTAGATCTGTGGGTAGAAACGAGTAATTATATTATCATGGAGTTGCTGCAGGTGTCTTTTGACATCACTACGCGAGGTGTCCCCGCGGGCGCCTGGTGCAGGTGACGTTCCTGTTGATGTCCGCCACCATGGGCCGCAACGAGGCCTTGAACGCCAACCTCGAGCGCTTCACAGGGAGAGAGGTGTCGGTGGTGACGTCGACTGAACGGCCGGTACCCTTGGAGTCTCATCTGCGGTCGGAGTCGAAAGGCGGTTTCGTGTGAAACGAGGGCAGCCTTGGAGGGTGGCAGCCTTGGAGGGTGGAGCCGTTTTCGAGTTTTCGAGCTTCACGTGGTTAAATAAACGTAAGCTGAACAGAGCCTCCATTTTGCCATGCAAACTGGAATTCTTCCACTGTGCTCCCCACGAACTGATCGGTTCAAGGAAGAGTAGTATATTGATTGTTCTTCAATCTTTGGGGGTTTTGTGAGGCTTCTGGTCGACGGGTTAAGCTGGGCGGGTCAGGTGTTCTTCCGGTTGCGTTGGACGAGTCTTCAGAGATCTGCCTGAAAGCCCTGGCAAGGTGGGCTAACAGATCTACAGAAGGATTCGGCATATTTTATGATGTATAGTATACACTCCCCTTTCAAAGACCAAGGGTTTCTTTGAAGATTGAAGATGTTATTCCATCATTGGACATTTGCTAAGACGGTTTGTTCTGTGCTCACTCGACCCATTCCGATGGTTCCTCACCCATCGAGGATTGGTCGTACCTCTTCAAGAACGTCCGAGAGGCGATGGTTGGGGCACGGCCGCACCGAGGAACCGGGTGGAGCCAGGCGCAGGTCCTGCTCCCGGCTCCGGGTGCAGCTCCCCAAAAGCTACTATAAGTAGGTCGTCAGGTCCGTGAAACACCACAAAGACATGGAGTCCGCGTGCCTTTTTCTCTAAAATTCGTCGACATGGAACTCATCGAACTCCAAGGGATCTCCCGCACAGGTTCCCAAACTTTGAAGGTGCATGGCATACTGCGAATGGATCACGCACATGTCCTCTCATGTGAACTTCACTTGAGGCAAGCGGCATACCAATGTCTTTTTGTCTCTGTTCAATCCCCAAATAACAAAGACACCCATATACACTCATACCTGGACCTTCAAGGGGTGTCCAATGGAGGTCCCTTAGTAGTGTAGGGGCTTCCAGCCAGGTGACCCCTTTGAAGGTGCTGGTAGTTTGTTAACATGTTATAACCATTGTCTCCTGGTTCTGAGCCCTTGGGCCCAATTGCAGGCGATCTTTGAGTTGGTGGCCGATGGCCGCGCGCCGATCTATGTGGTGAGCTTCACACAGGATGCGGCTGCCACGTTGGCGCAATCGTTGATCACAAAGGACCGGGATCCAACACCTTGGTGCATGAAGAGCGGCGAAGTGGGGGTGCGGGTTGAATTTCGTTGATTTTGGGTGTAGAGCCTCCAGCACACCGCTTTGTTGGGATCTTTGGTGGTGTTCAACATCGAATGAGCGGTGGATGCCGGTACTTTTCCGATGTTTTTGGGTTCAGAACCGTTTAGATCCGCCAATTCCTTGCATGGAAAGCTTCCAACTCTTTCAAAGATCAGAAGCTTCAGGGGAGCCTCGCCGATCCGAGGCTTCGCTTCTAGACGAGCTCGGTGGAAGTCGCCCATCCGATCCGTCCTGGTCACTGGATCGAGCGATTCAGGTTTCCAGCACTCCTGGGGGACCGATCGGCACCCACCCGCCGAACCGAGGTCCACGGAGGTCGTTCGGAGGTCGTTGGAGTCTATCGGGGTGCATCACACCAAGGCCGTCGTCGACCTGGCGCCGTGCCAGGAGTTGGCACCATCGGAGGAGCAGAAGCACACCTTGTCCGAGGCCGACCGATGATCGGAGAGCCGGTGCACCGGGTCGGGTCGACGGTTTAGTCACCAGAGGTGAACTAAGAATCATTATGTTTTTGATGTTTCAAAAGAAGTACCTTGAAAAAATTCAATCAGGTCATTTTGAGGTGGAAGCTAGTCTAGCTAGACAGATTTTCTCGGCATCCTTGAGATTTGGCCTCCCCCCCAAATAATGAACATGTATAACATAAATGACAAGTCTAAAGCCTTGTACGGACAATGAATTTTGTGTGTACATATTGATTGTTATATAGTTATAGTCAATCACATCATACTGCATGCATTTTTCTGCAGTCTCCCGCATGCACAGTATTGCATAGTAGCAGTATGATAGTGATATTAAGTGATGTCGAGCTCTGAATCACTGGAGGAGGAAACCCTGATGGGTTTTCCAGCCAATTCTTCGGCCAAGAATCTTTCACAGACTTGTTTTACAGTTTGGCAGTTTTAGGTGGTGAAACCCTTGCATAACCCTTCAAACTTTCTTCCACTGGAAGGACAGCGGCGTAGCCAGGAGTTCCAGTTCTTGGGGCGGTTTACCCATCACACGTCGGATAAACGTTTCTTTTTGTGGAGATTGGAATCGCACGTCGTGCCGGTCCAAAATCATCACCCATAGAGCGCTAAGACCTTCACACAGCAGTGGTTGGGGCTTCCATGAATCTATCAGAAGAGCTTGTTTTACTCTTACAAGCCTTTTCACATCTTCTCACCATGTGAACCCGGCACATTTGCAAACAACGATGCTTTCACCCGGACAGATTGAGCAGCTCAATCAAAAAGGCAGCGACCACGTGGTCGCTCCCCGAAGACCTGTGGCTGGAGGCCATGAAGTCCACGGACTTCGACACCCCCTACGGCCCCAGACGCTTGGAGAACGCTGGGGACGGGACGGGGGCTCGGTGATCCACTCTTTGTGGTGCAAAGGGGGGGGGTTTGGTTTCAGCACCCAAACTCAATTTAAGATCTTCTCCAAATTCAACTTGGTTCAAATCATTCAAACATGGCAGACACTACCCTCCAAGTATATATATATATACAGGTGTTTGGCCACTAGTTATGGTTTCGTTTGTTGAAAAAGTCAAGTAATATTCCAGGGATGAGAGCTCGAACAGCTAGACTTCAACACATGTCAACGACCTCCAAATTCCAAGGTGAAACAGCACATAACAGCCCAGGACCATGCCAAACGTTTTCGGATCATCAATTTCTGAGTTGAAGCCACCTTACATCATTCCCACCTTCCTTCCTTCCACGCTCACCGTGGTGCACGACGGACCACCGATGTTGGAAGTTCCTGCACAGTCCATTCCCGGTTCTTCCGCCCAGTCCCACGAGGAGGGGTTCCCTCCCCCTGTCCCTCCAAGGTCTCCGAGCGCTTCTGCTGAATGGCATTGGTCTGCATCATGCAGGTGTTTGCGCCGTTGATGGAGAAGTTTCACCGGTGGAACACGGGGAGGTACTAATCTTCATTACCAGAAGGGGTATTTCACCTCTTACTTGCATGTCATTGTCATTGTTCAGATGATGTTGGGCACAACAACCAGCGTCAACCTGTTCTTCAGTGGAAGCAGGACCCTCAGACACCACTCCAATTGGCGACGGTGGTTTCACGGGTCCGTGTTGGCCATCGGTTTGACTGTGAGGTTTGATTCCAAAGTATCGGCTGCTGGTGGAACAGACGCACGGCGAAAGGAGAGGACCGGACGGTTTGCCAGGTAGGCGGCTGTTTTTTTCGGCGGCTTGCAAGGGCCGGGAGAAGACCTTCCTTTCTCATCCTTTCCTTTGAAAAGAAGCTATTTGAGGAAACAGGTCAAACCATGCAAGTTGCAGATGGACAAGCAACCATGATCTATTTCTTTATTTCATGATGGATCCATGCCAGTTGCAGGTCCATCATATGATTCATCATCACACATGGTTTGATCATGTTTGATATACCTGGAGACAGGGTCCCCCACTGTAAAGTGGAGTATGGATGAGTGATTGGTGATTGGAAGCACGATTGGATATTGTATTTCTATCCTCATTTCACCTGGCAGAACCCCTTTCTTTCCATCCTCCCTCCCCACTCAAAAGGACGATGCTATGCCCCAAAAGGATCGATTCGCAGTGCAAGCTTGCTGCAATACTCCTGGATGGCCGGGGCCAATGCTTGGCCACCTGGGCTATTGACCATTGGGCTTTCGTTAACCTTCATTTTCCACGGAAGTCAGTACTGTATCCTTGAGGAATATGAGGAGTTTGGTACCCATAGCATCCCATCGCCACAGCTCCACCTATTTGACCCTCCATGTCGATGACAGTGTGCACGTCGCTCAGGATGGCACAGTCAGGACTGTTGACGTGCATTTGTGGGACTGACACCTTGGGTGTGGGGGTGAACGTGCCCATTCGTAGCGTGCTCTTCACGCAGCTCTGCAAGTACAATGGGGAAAGTACCGTCTCTTTGAGTCGGAACTCAGCGCTGTTCGAACGTTCCGCTCGGTGTTTTGAGTTCGGAGGGCGGTGCAGAACCAAACGACATGGGACGAACCAAACGACATGGAACTGCTGGCAAGCCTTTTTTGGGCTTTTTGTGCTTAAAGACTCTACTATCCAAAGAATGTTTCCAATGGTTACTAGTCTTTTTTTTGTGACTGGGAGCCTGCCAAAGACTTTTGATGTGAACTCCTTTGAATCGCATTTCAGTGGCTTCAAAGAGGATGGTTTCGGCTCGTTTGGGATTGTTTGAAAATCTTTCGATCAGTCTTTCGAACATTTCTTTTGCCTCTGCGAGAGTTGACGGCGGGAGGTTCGGCGGCCCGTTGAACGTGGCCCGTTCAACCAAGGCTTTGCTCTCTGCTCGTGACTTCCATCAAATCGCCGGCCGCGCGGGACGCAAGGGCTTCGATGAAGCGGGCAGTGTGGTGGCCGTGGCACCAGCACATGAGGTCTACAATCAGAAGCATGGCTTGATTGAGTGCCAACCTGTGCCAGGTGATAAACAGCAGGTTCGGCTGTTTCAAGGTGCTCTTGTTGAAAGACGATCAAACGCGAGCAGTGCCTTTCTACCTGCCAAAACAGGTGAGTCGTCCTGCCGCAGAGGATGGGTGGATTTCCATAGCTTTGATGACCCAAGAGACGTGAGGAGTGCAGGGAAATGCCCCGAATCCTTCCTTTTCACCGCCCCCTTTGGCTGAAAGGAGTCCTTATAAGTTGGTGATGAACTCTGGGGTGATTGGGGTACTGCAGAGAGCAAGTTGTCCGATAGGTGATAAGATTGCATAGAAGAAGGTTTATGGAAATACCAATATATAATATAGATGGCGGGGAGAAGGAGGTGTATTATTGTCATGCATCATTCTTCTGCAAAAATTGGATGCAACTGCAGCATGTCGTTTGTTTGGAGGACTCATCTCGCCGCTGTCGGACATCACTCATTCTCCATTTTAGGTTGCAAAGCTGTTCACAAGTAGGAGCAAGGATGCTATTAGGGGCTCCTGGCATCGCTACTAGGACCAGGAAGCTACGAACAGGGCTCCTGGCCGTAGAACTAGGAGCAAGGAAGCTACGAACCGAGCAAGAATCGTCTACCGTCCACGAAAAACCACTCCGGGACCCGCGGGGTCGTCCGAACGACCGAGGAAGCTGAAAGAGGAGATCAAGGAGATCCGCCGACGCGGCCGCCGACGCAGACGACGACGTGAGACGGCACCACGAGAGACGGTGACTCTGTGAGGGCTGCGGGATGACCGTATTTGTTAAACAGATGGATGGGATTGGATGGGATTGGTATCCCAAGTCATCCCAGGTTGACAAGTGCTGGAAGTTGCAAGAGGTTGCTATAGTGACTATGGTTTGGACATGTTTGGAATATGAGGGCATGTCGAATCGGAAGGGCTTAGTAGGAATCCATTTTGGATCCTGGGGGAAGATAGGAAGACGGCCATCATCTAATCATCTGACATCGGCTCTCATTTGGATAGGTGGTTCGGCTCTCGGCCCTTCTGACATGCACTCGGCCCCTGTCACCGGGATTTGTTGTATTTTTTTTCCTTAGTGATTTGTTTTGTTTAGTTTTCCTGCGTCACCTTTGATCCAGAACATGCTTCGTTCGTCCTGTATAACGATAAAGGGTCACACACACAAACATGTGCGGTTCGGCATGCTCCGGATTTGTGCCAGCTGCTTCACCTGTTGAACTTGCGTTCAACTAGGGTCCGTGACAGGGCACATCACCAAAGGTGAGAAAGTGATAAGAATTGCAAAATCGATGCTCCCCAGGAGAAGGGAAAAGCTGTAGGATCCGCCACCACCTTCTGAGAAACAAGGAAGGGCCACTACCGTCACCAGCCGACCTTCTCAGACTGTGACAGTGGATCCTTAGGGAATGTAGCAAAACCGGAACAGGTTGCTTAGGAAATCTTCTTTTCAAGGGGCTGCAGATAGTTCCCACCCAATGTTAGGGGTGATTTGAAGCCGACTTTTGAACAACAACAACAACAAATCATCGCAGAATGCCTCCACGAATACCAGCTGAGCCAGTAGCTGAGTATGAATCGAAAGTGTCTCCAAATGAGGAGATTGAACCTTTCGGTACTCTGATAGGCACGCCAGGTACCTTGGTTTCCTACCCTACTCATCTGGACCGCCTTGGAGAACCCCCCCGCTGCTACTGGGTGACTTTGCAAACTCGCCTTCTTCCTACTGGCCTTTCAGATTGCAAGCATCCAGCAACAAGCGGGGTACCATGTATCCACAAAAACTACCAAGAGTGGTTGAGAGACCTTGTGGGACACCACTGGCACATTAACGGTACATAAATAAAGATAAATATATAGATATATATGTGATGGGCGAACTACGGCTGTTCAACCTCCACTCAGCGGATGGCGGTCCTGACGGTCGTCACGGACTCCAAGCCGCCAGGAGAAGCCCAAGCAAAAGGCCAGCATCTGGCGACGTGCTCGAACACCTGGACCCAACTTCGTTCGTTGGACGCAGAAGACGTTTGAAGAGCTCACTGAGAGCAGCCCTGCTGCTCTGGAGTCGCAGTTCCAGTTGAGTCAAGGCGGGCGAGAACTCCATGTGCAAGTTGTTGTCTCGGCAGGTTGTCGGCAGAGGCCATTTTACTTTGGTTTGTAGGCAGTTGTTGTTGTTTTTTTGGAGGATTGCCAATTTAGAACCAGCGACCGGAACATCATACTGTTGTCCAATTTGGAGTGAGCACTCGATGTGGCGGTTTTCTCAATTAAGATTCAGATGAGCTCGATGAGCACGATGAGGTCTTGAGAAAACGTGTCCCGTGCTCAGCGTGTTCAAGCGTAGATGGCTTCAAACCATGGCTTTGTAATCTCTCATCCATTACAGGCCACCAAAGACCTTGTACAGTGAACCCCAACCTATGTGCCATGTGCCAATCTTCTAAAACCATGGGATAGGACATCATCATTGACATTGAGCGCCTAGTTTTGCTCACGTTGTACCCTGTTTTTTTTCACCTCCGACCTCCCTGACCTTCCACTGGTCCAGTTTCGGCGTTCCGCAGGCCACGTGCTCAGCGTGTTGCAGGGCGCGCAGGAGCGCGCCGACGGCCGTGCCACGAGCGTGGACGGCACGAGCGCCTGGCACGGGCGCGAGGAGCTGCGAGAGCTGATTGAGCTGTCGGTGTGTAGCGAAGAAAAGAAGCAACACTGGCAGGAGCAGGCAAGCCGACGCGACGAGCCGTTTTCAATGCGGGGAGAAGTGGCGGAAAAACGACGGCGTGGGGGAGCTGGGGTGAAAGAGTTGTTCAGTAAAGGGTCCTTTTCGGGGTGTTTTCGAATTTTCGAAGGAGACAGATTTGACATTGACACTTGTTGACTTTTGTGAAGATGTTCCATGAAAATCCATACTGGAGGCAGACAGATTTGTGGCCCGACTACATTTGTTGCACTCCGATGGATGACACTGCCAAAACAGTAGGGAGCTTCTTTTTCGATTCGCATCGAGGACTCTCTCAGGACCCGGGTTTTGATGGATGTTGTTTGGGGTTTTGAGGGGGAGATCCTCAAAAAAAAGGGTGAAATCACTGGTGTATCTTGAGACTAGAAAACCGAAATGGCTCCTCGAAAGCTTGTGTCTTGTCTTTCTGAGTTCCTCTATGGCTAATTCACTGAGATTCCGTTGGTTTTATAATATATTATATGCATGTATACAGATACATATACACCTTCCACACTTGCGACTGTGGATCGTGAGGCCCTGTTTCAGTGCCAATCCAAAAATTCTTGTCTCATCAGGTAGAGAGCTACATCTCTGCACTGGGCGTCGCAGGGCTGGTGGAGTTGCATGGAGATGAGATCCGCGTCGACAGCACCCTGCAGCGTGACTTTCTGCTGATGGAGACTCAGCTCGGCTCGAAAGCGTCAATCGCTGGATGAGAGTGGACGCTGGAGAAAGCTCGATGGGTACAGTCGGTACAGTAGCTGGTGCGCTCGAGACCACCAGTCCTAAGTCTAAACTCCTCTGAAACGGGGGCCATGCCGGGCAAGCTTAAAAGCTTATGGATGTGTGTTCTATACGGTTCGATAATGGTTCGATAGAATGCCTGAAAAGACACCGGGAAAACCAGTGCGTAGCCAGTGTGTATTGGATGTATTGGACACCCCCAAACCAATGGTTGAGTTGCTGATCTTTAATTGTACATTAATCTTTCAGGGGCTGCACCCTCTTATGACGAACCACAAGCCAAAGTGGATTGGGAACTTGCGAACGTCTGGTCTGAAAGACAGATCCGGTGGGAAAAGCTACCCTCAGCTCTTCCCTTGGTATAGTACTGTAGCTTCTTTCTCTGGTCTTTGAGTTCCTCCCGACTGTGGCGACTGCGTATGCTTACGCCGCCAGTCCGGACCGTCTCGCCTTCCTCGCACTCCTCTCGTCGATCGCAGCCGGACCGTCTCCACCGGTGTCGTCTCGCTCAGCCGCGGGGGAAGGAACGCAGGTTCCTTCAGGCGGACTGCGCTTGGGTGTCCCTCGTAGTCATATGGATATGGGATGATACTGGGAGACCGTATGTATTTTTCATGGGGAGACCCCCATGGGATGATACTGGGTGGTCGAAACCAACAATGGCGCCATGGCGAGACAAAGTCGCTAGTCATTCAATCCCATTGGACGTTTGTTCTGATTGGAACAGACCATGTTTTGGCTGCGGCTCGAAAACAGGGTCACAGGTTCTAGCATGTTCTAGGTAGTGAACATTATAGAACAGGAAGCAGCTTTATGTAGATCATGGCGGGGGGCTCCTGTGTGGGCTTCTATGGCTTCGGTAATGCGACTCATACCCATTATTGATTGCAAATTGCGTTCACTGGGATTTTCCATGGAATGGACTCATTTGATTCCCGAGGAAGATGTCTCTTTGTTTCTGGTGGATGTCCTGCCATTGTTCCAGTGGCAGAGATATGCATTGCGCAAAGCTTTCCTTATTTGATGAGTATTTGAGGTACTGTATATGTATTATGTTAAGTGTTCAGTGAGAGGAGAGTGAGAGGGACCAGTTTTGCAGTCATTAATGTATTAATCATTTTTTCAACGAATAGACGTGCATGTACAACACCAACACACACTGGCCATACATTCATCTCCATTCATCTCCACCGTCACTTTTCCACGTGGAACACCCAGGTGGAGATACTCAACAGACCCTCGGCGCTTGGCGAGGGCCATCTTGCAGGTGGTGGAAGCCCTTTGTGAAGGGCCGGTAGCGGTGATGCGAGCGCAGGCGCGCCATTTTTCGCGGCTCCGGTATGCGGAAGCGACGACCTAGGCGCCAAGCTTGGAACCTTGCGCCGGCAGCTCGAATGGGTTTGGAATGGTTTGGAGGTTCTCGACACCTTTGGTTTGAAGTAAGAGGTGTGCTGGTGTTTTATTTTGGTGGGGTGTTTGCTGAGGTGCCAAAGAGAGCTGCGAGCCAGGAGATGGCATGCCATCTCTCATGCATCCCACCAACGGATAGAATGTCGAACAAACATATGGCCAATCAAAAGAGATGACAGTGGGAATAGGAGGTGGATGTTCTTTGGTACAAAACGTCCAAAGACCACGCGTAATCATCGACAAGCAATGTCATGACTTCTTTTGCCAGGATGTTCTGCAGAAATACTGCTCATTTTGATGAATCCACTCCTGCACCTCATTTATAGTGTCATGACCTTGACACCATGATGCATCATGAACTATGTCGGGATGCTCTATTGGAGTTTCCTTCATGCAGGGTGCTCAGCTTCGAGCATCCTTTTACTTGGCACGCTTTGTTCCGCCCTTGGCACCCGGTATCACCATCCCCCGGTTCTCCATAGGCCGCGTCTCACTGCGTCCTTCGAAGCCTTTGACAGGCCCGGATCCGGGGTCGCAAGATGGACCGACTGCCCTGCGAAGATGTTTTGATGCCGGTGCCATGGCAGTTTTTGGACAGACCTGAGTTTAGACCGTTTAGACGCTGGGAGGGTCTTCAGCTCTGGATTTTTCAGCAGAGCATTGGATGTCCCATCGTTTGGGTGCAACATCTATCTTTTCCTCAAAATTCTGAGTGCGGAGTAGTGGTGATTGGAAGCAGTTGGAAGTACCAGTCTTCATGATCCAGGTACAGAAAACAGGCAGAAGCCTTGCGAAGTCTTCGAATGGGATCTCTCAAACAGTCCCTAATCCACCTGACCCAATCAAGTTGCGACTGCAGCGCCCTTCTAGAGCAAACCCTCAGAATTGACAGAATGGAATCCACGTAGATCCACTCAGAGGCAGTGTATTCGATGGGTCTTAGTAGCTGGTGGGATGACAGCCGTCCGTAGGAACTCATTGCAGGTGTACTGTGTAACCACTCGGTCTCCCAGAGACTAGACTCTTAGTTAGCTGGGACGCTTTCCCAGACGCCCTGGGACGCCCGTCGTGCATCGCTCCAATCGTATGGCACTTTCGTGAAATTCTCCAGTTCGTGTGGCCCACAACTCAAATGCATTAGGCAGAGGGGGGGATGAAGGAGTTGGATCTCTTGTTCTCCTGACTGGTGCGACTCGCAGGGAATGAGGGTGGCTGAATCCAATAGAATCTCTATTGGGGGCGAAACTTCCCTTAGTCCCTACGAGTCGCACCAGTCAGTCCCTTACCGAGATTGTGAAGTCGGCAGAAATTGATTGATTGTAGACGCTTCACCTCCTCACCTCAAAGACGACGGTGCGAGAAAGACGCTGCAGTCGCAAACCCACCGAGGCATTTCAAAGCTTCCTGAAATCACATCCCCGGGTCTCCAAAAATGCGCTGCAACCCAAGAGTATCGCTCTTGAAATTTATGACGGGCTCCTGGGCTGAGATCATGTTAACATGGGCGGGCTACTGGGTGATCATGTGTGATGGGCTGCAAGGTCAAACAGGGGCCATGCACATAAGTTTCAAAGCATCGCTCACTCGAAGACCCATGTTCTTCCGGAGAAAAGAACAACGAATTGTGACCCTCCCATACAACATTCGTTTCAATCGGAACAGCTTCTTTGGGGGGGTGAAAACAAGTAAGCGATGGATCTCACGCAGCGACCGATGGATCTCTTTCGATGGTTGGCCCATTCTCTGGGCCGAGACTTGAGGCTTATCCTTCACGGCTTGATCTTCAGACCTTGGAGAAGAGACCATGGTTTTTTCGGGTGCACGCCACTGATCTCTCCATGGACCTCCTAAAGCCCTATGGCTCCGGTCAAGAAGAAGATCTCATTAGATCTCAGGTTCGGTGGTCCAGCTTGGAAGGGCGAGATCAGCTTCTGGGGGTTCTCTGACTGCATCAATACCAGGCAGTGCATGCATGGTTTTTGAAACGTCAAAGCCCTAGGGCTCCCGTCCCTCCTGAGGATCGGATTTTTGGACCGGTACCCACCAGAACCATCTCACCGACCACGGTGGTGGTTCGACCGAGCCCTAGGGACTCATCACCGTTCCTCCAGAGACCGAGCCGGAGCCAATTCGGCCAAATCGTTGAGACGAAGGTCCAATCCGCAATGTGGTCCCCAAATTTTGAAAGAAACGGTTTCCAAGACATTCTTAGTATAGGATCTCTATAATTGCACTTTCTATTTATTTGGGGGAATATATATATATATAGGCATGTATAGATCCATATAGAGATATATAGGGTCTTGTTTTTGGGCCGCATGCGACTCAGCGACTCTACATTGCATTGAGTTTCAGGCGACCAACCCGACCACCCCCGTCGCAGACTCACAAGCCGCAAGCCGATGGGGCTTGGGGGTTCCATGTTCATTTGGGAGGTAGATTCTCAATCAGATGGATTCAAAGGTATGAATCAATTGCATGCCAGATGGTTTGAATCCATTCAGATGGTTTGACTCCATGCATGTCAGATAGATGCCAAACCACACCAATGGCGCTTGCACGGTGCGAGCAGGACTTTGCACGGGTGGCCCGAGGCGCTTGTCCTTCAAGGAGTTCTTGCAGAGCTTGAGCCATGTGGATCGCAAGAAGAAGACCATTCGTCAGGAGTGCAGTGCGGTCAGTTCAGCTTGGCTTAGGGCTTAGGCTAACTGTAAGTGGTATTCATGTACACTCCACAAGAAGATAACAAGCCGAACCTGTGTTGTAAGAAGAACACTTCAAAGAACTCATCCTCTTTGAGCGCCATCAATTCCACATCGGCAAAGGAATGTCATGAACCGCATTCTCTCACATCCACTGTCAGATGCTCTCTAAAGATAGCTGTGCACAGAGAATAGCAGTGGACGGTTTGGGGCCCCAGTTATGCCAAATTCGTGGAGTGCAAGCCGGAGAGCTGGACCCCACACAACAGTAGGTTGTAGAGGAAGGTTCGACATTCCCTTCCAGGCCCTTCCAGCGAACCATTGTCTTAATCTATGGTTGTGAAAAGAATTGGGTGCGCAAGTGTGTATGTGAGGAGAAACTTAGAAAAGCTACGGCGGGGCCAAGCAAATGGTTCCAACCCAAACTTTAACTTGGCCAACTTGATAGATTATTCATGAACGCTAAGGGCAGTCATACCTGATTAAACAAAAAGACAGCCCGCACGCACCATGCATACCTGAGACCAGACACCGCAAAACCTGTCGTCCGGCGACGTCTTTTCTTTCTGCGTCGTCCGGCTTGCCGCCGTGTCTCCGGTTCTTCTCCGCCAGGAGGGTCTTCTACTTCGCTACCTGTCGCAGGTTCACAAGACCTTGAAGCACAACATCCCCGATGAGTTCAAATACGAAGAGGTCCTCGACATCGAGGCGAGGGTTTCAGCCGGGGCACCGGGCTGGGAACGGGCGTCGGCTGGAAGGTCCGAAACGCCGAAAAAGAAAGAGCACGCTCGGTGGTTGCAGCACTGAGTCTGGTGGCTCTTCGGTGATATTCAGATGCGTGGAGAGCTCGCTACTGGGTATACAGGATCCGCTGGGCATTAGATCCGCAGAGCTGTTGCAGGCAACGCTGAAAACATGGCTCCCACCACTTGCATTGAGGGTAGGTAGATCAACTTGGCTTCACATCATCGTTGGAACATCACGTCCCCACAAGCCATCGTGCCAGTCCCCTCATCCATGCCGCTTGGGTTCCTTGTGCCCTGGGTGACTGCGCTCAAAAAGGCATACTTGTTGGCCATTATCAACAGCACCGATTCCAGCCTTCTTCGTGAGTGGGAAGCTTCGGCTGATTTAATGATTCATCTACTCTTTCAACAGATAGATAGATTGTTTGCATTTGTTTGCATGATATTACACTGCTGGTCATTGGGGTCGGTACCGACATGGACAACGAATGGAATTAAACCTGCTCAAGACCACTGACTGAGCGGGGCACAGGGGGGCCGGCTGTTGTATATTATCAGGACCAGTGGTGTATTGTGCAGACTGCACCGTTTATGCGACAAATCTCCGGTTTACGATGTAGGATTCCTCAACAGTAGTGCTGCAGGGCTGAAAGGGTCGGTTCTCTTAGAGATACACCGACACACCCAAATATATGCCTCATGGGTCACTTGAAGCAAGCGATTCAAGTTGATTCAATCGATCTGTGATTTTCACAGTCCAGAGTGATGCAAAAGACTACATTCAAACCTTTGAATGTACGTCTTAGTATCACTTTGTATCGAAAGTCCTTGAGCAGGCCCTTGGAAACGCCAGTGAAAGATTCACAGCATCTCAGCGACGCTTCAATTCGCTTGGAAGGCCACCCAGGGCCACGCCTGGTGCACCGGCCTGGACACCAATCTGCCAAGGGTCATGGCACCAGGTCTGCCCCAAGCTCAACAGGTTGGTCCCACCAGCTCGGCAGTCCAAGCCGGTCGCACGGGTCGTCTTCCGGTGAAAACGACTTGGTCGTGCTTCGCTCAGTTCTCTCTCAGTGCTTCGCTCAGGAAGCCTTGAAAGCTTTGGAAGGCGTTGACTTCAAGGAGAGTGCTTCCGCCGTGACCTTGGCTGAGAAGGTCATCAAGTCCACGCTGTCGGGTGCCCCCGCCGGCGGCTTCGGCGCAGCAGGGAAGAGGGAGGGAGTGCTTGCTTCCGTGCGGAAGCTCAGCAGGCACCACAAGCTGTTGGTAGGGCTGGGGTGGTGATGTCAGATATATGCAACCGCATTGAATCCACTGACTGACTAATAATGACGAATATGTTTCAAGCGAGCTGAAATCACCAACCAGGATCAGAAGATCGAGGGCTCAGGTCTACCACTTCATTGACCGTAGGTGACTCGCAAGCTTCTGTGGAAATTCATAGGAAAAACACGGTGAACATATATACACCCGGGAAGATTACCATGGATCCTAGAAATGGACCTTTGGAAGACTAGCTTCCTCCACAAACCAGTGGTTTTTTTTCAGGTTCCATGTTAATCTTCCACAGAGCATGTAATCCTGAAAGCATCCCTTATTAAACTTATGCCTAACTTATGCCCCATGAATAGAGTGGATAATGATGCTTAACGGTTTGCAAGGATGCAGAGTCGAGTCCTGACTCCTGAGAGGGATGATTGAATACACAGGTCCTCATATAAATCACCAAGTTTGATGCCCGAAACCCTGCTCTTTCTTACCGCCAAGAGGTGGTTGACTTTTCTGTTCATGGTCAGAAGAGTCTCCAACAGGAGTGTGGAGTTATGTGAAGTTGGGCTTTCAAACATGCCACCAAATCGGTGCCTGGATTTAGGTCGGGTCGACCAACTCAGCTTCAGCTCACCGAGGGACACCCCCCCGAGTCTGAACTCGAGCTCCGTGCTTTGCGCTCGCGAGCACGAGTCGAAGCGCAGCGCTTCGCGCTCTTTCTGGCCATGGGCTGGTGGGAGGAGGCTGGGACGGCTGGTCTAGCTATGTGGTTTGCTCTGGAGAAGTTCGGTAGTTGGT